TCTGTCGCAGTCCGTTTTCGGACATCGACGAGGGTGGACCAAGCGTCGGTGTTGGAGCGACTTTGTTCAAATATATTTTAGTTTTTTAAGAGTTTATACTCAATTATAAATATTCTTATGAATAGGAATACTTAATTTAGCTAATAGCTGTATATTTTTAAGTGTAAATATTGTTTTCTAAATAAATTTATATATAAAATGCCAAAGATGAACAAATTTTCGCGGCGACGTTAATTAGTGAAATTAAAAATGCATTTTTATAATTGATATGTGGAACGACCAACATGTTCTCGTTACTTAGATTTAGATAGTTTTTAATACATATATAAGTAATAAATATTAATAAAGCTATTGGGATATTTCGATCTTTAATAAAATGATTTTACATTAATTTAAATAATTTATTTTGCCCTTCTATACCAAGTAGCGTTTTTCTATCACTCTTATTGAATTTGACAATTTTCGTTGAAATTTAGCGTCTCTAGACGAATCTGAATCGCGCGCTGGCTATTAAGGTATTGCAAAAATAATCGAAAATATTTATTTTTATCTTGTTCTTTGTTATTACGGTTAAATGTTGTTTAGCAAGTATTTACAAATGTGTTCATTATGTTGTTATTTAATTATTTACAGTCATTATCACATTTTAGCTTACATTAGAAATTCTCAATGGGATACGATCTATATTTGTTCTTTTTACCAGTGGAACTTCCAACACAATCTTAAATAATTAAATGAATTTAAAAAAAAATAACTACCAATAATTATTTGATTTTCAGTCGGTGTTTTACATTTACAGATCAGTTATAAAGATCCATTAATGGTACATTTTACAAAATCAAAACCTATCCTTACCTTTTCCGACTTTATGCCCAATAGTGGTTCTAATTAACTCTACAAATAGGCTCACGCCTGCTCAATAATATACACATAAATCTGCACGCAAAATAATCTATCCATTAACTACTTACTTAACTACCTGCTTCAGCATATGCGGCTTTGCTAAAATACTTACGTATTCCTCTCCTCTGTATTGCCCCAGGGCATTTTGCCAGTTCTTACTTGTTACATTCTATTAAAAAAATCTAGATATTTTTTTAAATAAAATTTTCTTTCCCAGTAAAAAAATCAAATGCATCCGAACTTTCCCTTATATTGAGTAATTCATATTGTCATATGTTTCTCTTGTGTGCACCATTTTTCACGGAAGTATTGTTATACTTCCGTGAAAAATGATGTACACAAGAGAATTAAGAACATACAAAATCTTTCTTTTCGAATTTCCGCCGAGTTGTTAGTACAAGGCCAAATACGCCTTGTGCCAATTTAATTAAATATATTTTATATAAAGTGATCTTGACTACGTTCCACCAATTCACCACTGATAAAAATGAGAACAGCAATTTTACAATTGTTTTTACAAGAAATACTATCAGTAGAACGTTGCAGAATGTTCATTAATTTATAATATATACTTATAAATGTATCTATTATTAATAAATTATTCCCATAAAATTTTGTATTATTTTTTATTTTGCCATATCTGAAACGTTCAAACTATATGGAAAATGTAGCGTATGATGATTGACACTCACTAGAACATTTTATCTAGGTACAAAGATGTTTAACGTTTTCGTGGCCTGCGCATGATATTTTTCTCAGCATTAGGTACCCTTCTGTATATGAAACGAATATGAATATTGCATATGTATACGATACAAAAGTTAGTAACATACACTTTCGTTACATAGTTATCACACACATATAGTCTGGAGACGTGTAGAATAAGGAGCCAGTTTTAAAAGTAGATATCTTAAAACTGCACCAATATTTAGCCCTATTGATTTTACAAAATCCTTTAAGAATTCTACTAAAAATTAGTTGGAAAAAAGTACAATATTAGTAATTTAACTAAGCAATTTTCACTAATGTATAAAAAGCATTGTATTGGCTGAGAGACCACAGTTTAGATATATAGTAAAAAAGCTTTAAAAGTTCTTTACTAAATATCTGTAATCACAATAACTTCATTATTAAAATGCTTTCCGAGATCTGACTGATCGATTTTGTCAACTGAGGGACCAGTGCTGTAACTTTTTATATATTCTTTTACAAATTTTAGGATTCGTTCTACAATTGTCTGAGGCCTACCACTAAATTCATTCAATTCATTTCGCGAAATCCCAGACTGATAATTCCCTCGGTTCTTACACACATAGACGCATGTAACACTGCGGGGCAAGAAGCTAGTGCTAATACAAAACTCGTGTTCTACAACGTTAACTGTTTCGATCATAAGTTCGATATAACGTATTATAAGTCGTGTATTTTTAAACAAATGTAGAGCAAAATATTTATTCACGTCAACGTCATATTTAAACGATGTGAGTTTTATTACCAATCTATAAACGCAAAAGGTTTTAATTCTTCGAATAAGAAAAATATTCGTGTAAGTAAAATTAATATATGCAAATTGTGTTAGGATTTCTCACACAAAAAGAATTTTACACATATGTTAAACATTATAATATATGATAATAATATTTTACTTATAAGAGTCTACAGAGCAAAATGATAACAATGGAAAAAAAAAGCAACCAACCCGCTTTTGATTCTTTCGGTACAGTTGCCAACTCGTCAGCAAAAGAGTGGCACTTTAAACTATGGAAATGATGAAGGAAAAAATATGGGGTAACAACTAATGATTTGCAAATCATAAAAAACAAATCTTTATCTGTCCGCCCCGATGTCTATTCTACGTGAGCCTGAAAGAGTCCCATTTAATACCCCGCAATCCAATAATTGTTTCCAATAATTTATCATTTCAATTTGAAAGGCTACAATTCCCGCTAAAGTTAGCATTTATTGAGTATATGAACATTAGTAAATGTCAGGATCATACTTTAGAAAGTGGCAGGTATTCAATTGGGCACTTCGTATTTTGCATGGTCAGCTTGCAGGTTGGTTGTTCGAGAGTATCGATCACCCAAAACTTTCACGTGCAGGCGGAGAACTTTTTTACTTTAAATCTTACCATTTACAGCAATGTAGACAAATTTAAATTTCGTCCATAAATCAGCTAGTTTTTCGGCCAGATATTATTTTAATTTAAAGTTAAAAAACCCACAAGTGAACATGAAAAGTGCTTTTTTTTAGAAATAATGCCAGTCATTTTCTGAACTGCACGCGAGTGAAGTCGCAGGCAAAAGCTAGTCTATCATATATTTTTGTCTAAAAAGAAGTATTATTCCTATATACTAAACTGTTATCTTTTTTAACTATATGTGAATGAAATTGCGATTTTACAATAAAAGTAAAAATGTAAAAACAAATTAATACATTTTTTATTCATAACTACGACATTTATTATTCTTGATTTGCATTGGCTTTTAAGGTTCCACTCGTTGTTTCGAGTTTTTCAAAATAGTGAACGGGTTTTCTCCGTTACAATTCCAGAAATTAATATTTTCGTGTTCGAAAAATTTAAATTGAACATAATGTGGAATAGTTATATATGATAAACGCGACAGTAAAAAATTAATATAAAGCTTGAAGTTTGCTTAGTTAAAATATTTTAACTATTTCACATTCTGTGCGACGTGTACAAAAAGCGAGAGTAGATTAATAAAGCAATTGAACACAACGAGTCTTGTTTTACTGAAACAAGCATTCTGGGAGGCTTATGTAGGATTAAACATATCCGTACCTAATTTTCGCCCGCATACAAAAGGCGGGAACGCGTGAGAATAGCTATAGTTATGTAGGGCATTGACCTAATTATTCGAAGCATCTGTATCAAGAGTGTGTATTGTTTTCTTATGAACCGGTTGGAAAGCAAAACAGTATCAATTCTATACTGAAACTTGTTGCTTTTAAATTATCTAGGTTCTAATTAAATTTTGAACTTAATTGCAACGTTTGATTGAGTTAAACATTTCATCTAAAAATAATAAAGTTTATTATTAAAATAATTTTGAATAGATTTACAACGTAGTTTAAATGAAATCACAAAGTTTCATTTATAGGAACACTGCAAATTCTCAAAATAATAATAATAACGTGATGAGGATATTATATCTTATCTGTTGTTTTGTGTCAAACAGTTCTGAATAACTTAATTAAAATTTAAGCTAAGAGAGCGATGAACTTTCGCATTAAAATGGGTTAAGAGCTTAGGCGTCGAATCACTTTTGAGCGACAGCTACAGAAAGTAATGTTTGTCATTCAGGTGAGGTTATTCGTTTATTTTTAGATATTAATTGGATATATATAAATAGTATATTAATCAATAAAATCGTAATTTGTTGTCAAGAAGAGGGAGATAGTTATAAGTCGCAATAGTTTGTAAAAAGTGTTTAAATATGAATGTCGTAATATTAACAAATGTGGATGAATGTATTTTAAAATGAATGTTGGGCTATATCTATTTAATCGATGACCGCTTTCAATAATGCTCAATGCGCATAATGTGTATTTCTTTCGGTTTATTAGTTAAATCTATAGTCCATTTATGCAGTTGCCGAATTTAATTGGCAACGACCGACAATAGTATTTTCTAAGTGTAATAAATTGTTAGTCTTAATATACACATTATATAACATTTTCAGATGTTATACATTATACTTATGTTATTTCTTCTATTTTTATATGATTCAATACTAGTTATTATTAGTTTTTAATTAACAAATATTATGTTAATGATTTGAAATATGAGTAAGAAAAAAATACTAATTATTTATATAAATACATAATTAATATGTTTTACTACATTATTCTTATAAATATGTTTTACAACTTTGTATTTAGTTACAATTACATATCAAAAATATGTATGTGTATATATATCAGAAAAGGATAGATTGGGAAAAGTTACAAAGTCAGTCTTGTGACAATATAAAGTATCCACATTGTTGGAAACTTTCTATAAAATTCGAACTAATTTGTACAGAAATACGTCACAAAAGTGTTATCTGATTTTATAAAAACAATTTTATTTTTAGGTTTACTTCTCCGTAACCATCATTACCATGGGACATTTCATAGAAGTTGAACAACGTTACCTTAGTGGAGAAATGAAAGAGCCAGAATCAGAAAGTTTTTTGGAACCTGAAAAAATTACTCCAGGTAAGTGTAGATAAATACGATCACTTTTATCATCATCTCACCTTATGAGAATCAAATGCTAGACTACTAAAATACTGCCTTGTATAAAACAAGGCAGTATTTTAGTAGTCCCGATTATAATAAGTGAAGATTATATTCGTGATAAATAATTGAGAAATAATTGAGAATTTCAAAATTATCTTTAGTACATCATCATCATCATCATTACAGCCCTTCACAATACCTCTGCTGAACATAGGCCTCCCCTAGGAAAGCCACAAAATACGGTCCTGAGCTATATGTATATATATATATATATATATATATATATATATATATATATATATATATAATATTTCTTGTTAAGATCTTAATAAAATAGGGTAACAAAGGCGGATTTAATGCCTATCAGCATTGTCTGCCAGTCAACCCGGGTTGATGATATAATATGTGGAATCGATGCTCTACAAAAACGCCGAATCGTTCAGTTCTTTTGCTGCAAAAAGAGATCTACCACGTCAATTTACAAAAAAAAATTGTGTTACTATTAATATGTATGTAATTTTGAATAACACTATTACTATTTCTTTCTTTTAAAACTTAAAAATAGCAATAATTACGGTCGTGTGTGTGAAATTGTTATTATATTGTTTTAACTATTGTGTGAGTTTCGACGATTGTTTTTGCCGTGCGCAGATTTTCCACCGCAATAAATGACAGACAATTATGTATCAGGAAAAAACGTAATAACTACTCTCCTCTACTCCGCCGATGGTCCGTGTTGCTCTATGATCTCGAGAGATGATCATTAATGCCTTTGCGATATAACTCTGGAGATCTAGACTCTATAGTCTATGACGGCATTTTCACGTGCTTCCTGAAAACAAATGCATTTTTTCTTGCACGAAATTGTCCAAATTGGTGTTAAAAAGGTAATCGGTTAGAGTTAGGTCTTGTGACGATGATGTAACTACAGGTTTATTAATATAAAAAAGGTGTTTCGCGCTAGGTGAGGTCTTACGTTAAAGTTAAAGTTACAGCCTATATACGACCCACTGCTAGGCACAGGCCTCCTCTCATTTCTGAGAGATTTCAGGAGTTACGAAGTAATAATGCCGAAGATCGAATGATGAGTCGTAATTATTTCGCACACATGAAGTACATCATGAAGTGACTACCGACCATTACATTTTATGGCTGAATTTCGCTTTAGGGCATTGTTTCACTATTTCACCTGGGTTCAACCATTTATAATTAATTTAAATATTAATTTTTGGTCTGATCTACAATCTAGAAATTAATAATTTTAATCTGGAGGTAGCTGTGGTTAACTGTGACATTGGGTCTTCGAACACCTTTGTCACCTCCGTCACTATGGGTGCTGTAAAGTGCTCTGAACGTCGGGAATATAAAATAAGTTAATATACGCGATAAAATCTTTAAAAGTGTAGTGTTCCCGTAAACTTAAGAAATCAATATATTTTTACGGATATTATCACCCATGGTCACGAGGAGGACTGATATGTACTTTCGTTTGATAAAAGTTGTAGAATTTTAAAATTGTAATCCGACGTATCCATTATCACTTACCCGTGTTCCGTTGTTCAACGCTTTAAATTCGTCTTTGGGAAGATTTTCGGCGCTGAACTTCGACGTAACATAGACGAAATGTCTTGAGGTATGGCCTTCAAATTCTCTTTTCCAATATTATTTTTATACAAGCAATCACACACACATAATACTCCGCGGTGATATTGCGAAATGTATAACTTTCAATAGTATATTTACGTCATCCAGAGCCGCCGAAGAAGATTGGTCAGTTCTTACCATACGTCAAGTGTAACATTCCTCTACAACATGCCGAAGTGTACAAGTTTGTTTGTGAATGTCATCTCTCTAATATAGGGCAAACAAAAATATCACTAACGCTTCGAGAAGTCTGCATTTTGTGATCATACCCTAGACGGCCCCCGGCATTACATCCGATTTGACAGATCACAAATACTTGCGAAAGGACATCGATTCCTGCCGTGAGACTATTAAAATTTAATATATATATATATATATAATTGCAATAGAGAAGGCGGCTGGGTACTGCCACCTGCTTGAGATCCTGTAATAAATAAAATTAAAACTAAACCCAAGCATACCACTGCAAAACCTCACGACACAGTAAGATTATTGTAATTATTTCGGACCAATAGTAATAATTATTAAAAAGCTGAAAGTACTTCAAGTTAACTTTGATATCAGGACGTCAATTACCTCGGTCTCACCCATGACCATGGGTGCTGCAAAGCACCCGAAACGTCGGGAATTATAATAAGTAAATTTAAAAATAAAAATTAATGTTAAAGTTAAACAGAAACAAAGTCTGCAAAAATAGTATTATTCAATGTTAAAAATCAGTTAGCTAAGATCGGAAAAATTTTCCTTGCGTTAGTGCTTTTCGCTCGACAACTGAGGGGAGTGAGGTAAAGTTTTTAATTCTAAGCACTGTGCTACAAGACGGTCTTAAAACGTACATTGAGAAGCAAGTGCTCTTGTAAGGCCATCTACGTCGTAATCATCATTATCTTCATCATTACAGCCCCTCACAAATCCACATAGGCCTCCCCCAAGGAATGCCACAAAGCACGGTCCTAAGTCACTTGCATCCATCACCTTCCTGCATGTCTTACCAGGTCGTCACTCCATCTATTTGGGGGTCACCCTACACTTCGCCTACCAGTACGAGGCTGCCACTCGAGAGCCTTTTTCCCCATCGGTTGCTGGTTCTTCGAGCTATATGGTCGGCCCAATGCCACTTCAGCTTAATAATAACTTGGGCTATATCGGTCGCTCTGGTTCTACTGCGGATATCCTCATTTCTAAGTTTATCACGCAGAGAAACCCCGAGTATAGCGCTCTCCATAGCTCACTGAGCGAGCTTGAGCTTTCTCATACGGCCAGCAGTGAAAGACCACGTCTCAGTTCCATAAGTCATCAGGTCATAATCTGCAGTAGAATATCATAAACTTTGAGGGCAATCCAACTTAGATAGATCCAATTAAGAGAATACATCATGCATATTGAAAATATGGTGATAATTTTTATCAGTTTAGGCTTTTAGGAGGTTATTTTTCGTTTATTTCTTAGTTTTGTTTTTTTAAGCTACGATTTTTACTTCTTTACGCGTTCAGTTAACGATCATTATCAATATTTAAAGTTTAGTAGCTGTCAGCACTAAAGTTACAAAGTTTCTGTTACTACTGCTCTCGAAGCTATGACTCTCGATCATACTCTAGACCGTGTCTGTTCTTACATAAAAGCTTTTATATAAAGTTGTATACAGACCTTTGCATATGTGAATAATGTACATACAAGGCGTCCGTACGAAAGGAACCGTAACGGAAGGAATACGTAACAATCTTCGAATGTCATTTCAAAAAACTTTTGTGATCAGTACACAAATATAGTTTTGTCTTAGTCATTACAAGATTGGCTTAATAAAAACATTCCATAAAAGCTATTTTGACGAATTGGAACTCAGCTGTGTTCCGTTTTAGTACATCTTGTGGTACTTCGATTAATGAATACTCTCATGTTTATTACTCTAACTTCACGTTGCAGATTGCAATTTCTTGAGACCCTGTTAAAAATTAAAAGGTTCGTTTTATTACAAACAAGAGTTAATTCCGTTCAGTATGATGGTGAATTTTGTAAGTATTAAAAATTATAAAAAAAAATAATTATTATTTGCATTTTTTTAAATGATTGCTCTGAAGTGACACCATATTCTGTTAATTAAGTGGGAGAATTTGATCTTTTCGTTATACGCTATCACATTATTATATTATGTATGTCTAACAGTGGTAGAGCCACGCGGCAGCTTTTGCTGTCGCACGGATGGGCTGGCTCGAACCGGGGTGGTACCACGACCTCACAGAAGACCAGCGTGAAGTAGAGGTTTACCTCTGCGATTCGCTTGGTGAGTGCGGGTGGCCGGAGGCCCTTTTTGTTGGGAATGAGGCGTTCCATCTTGGTCCTCGCGGGTGACAACGCATCTACATTTTGATTTGTAACGGAGGATGGATGTAGATGTCTATGGGCTTCGCTTCGCCCACTTTCATTATTCCCTTCATACATGCTCTACGGTTTAGGGTAATCTTGACCTGATTCAAAATTATAACTATTTTTACCATGTTTTTAAGAGTTTGTGTATCTGGGTTCAAAGTTTACAAGAGATGGAAAGTCTCACAAGTTCCGCCGCAAGCACGGAGGAGTATTTCTAACTTCATCGTCATCGCTGGAGTTTATAGCTGTTTAGTTTTCACAGGTTTATTATTACGTCACATTGGAAAAATCCCATACATTGTCAAATAGTATATAAATACAGTACACAAATAACTTCAATTATTAAGCTGGATCTCGTTAAAATTATGAAACAGTTTAAAATTAAGGAGTTCCTTAATACTCTTGGAATGGAATATAATCTCGAACTCCTTTCATCATAAAAGTTGAAAATAGTTCAATTAAAAAACCTATTTCTTTCTTGTTTATTTTTTAAATTTTAATCATGTTACTATTGCGATCCAGAACAAATATAAATAGAAGATGTTTTGTATATTTTATAAATTGCATATAGAATAATATTAAACTTGTGATAATAATAATAATAAAAATATTTATTCATTGACCAAAAGTAATAAAATATTTAAAAGTTAAACTAACACAAAATTGATATTTTTAGAAGGACAATGAAAGGGTTCTGACTCAGCATGTGTTGCAGAGAATCTACAACGCTGTTATTCTGTCAGCACACATATACCTACTTAGTGAGCTAAAGTATAAAGTATAACAGTACGCATACATCACTGATTATATTACAAATAGCTTTTAGTGTTAAATTATTTATTTATTCATTCAGCCAGTACAAGAACTATTTAATTAACCAGTACAAGTTTTCATATTATTTCTATTAATAAATTGATAATTAATATTCATGTACAAAAGATAAACATAATATAAACAAAATATAAACGAAATATAAACAAAAACATATGAAAAAAATAACAATATTAAAAGTAAGAGCTACAGTATTGTTTTATTTATTCAGACTAATTATAATAATTATGCTAGAACATGGTAATGGTTATTAAACTTCAATCAATACCTACCATAACTTACGTAAGAAAAAAATATGAAGTAAAAATAACAATTTATGCTAGTACAATAATAAAAGACCTAAAATATCAAAGAGATTTTTGACACGTTTGACCTCAGGTGTGGAAGTGTTTCTATATTATACGAGTGTATCATCGAAATAGAATATAAACAGAAATAGTCGAAATCGTATATTAATTTATAAATGTAAAATAGGAAAGCTTAGATAATTGTCAAACTAACAAATATAATTTTAATACATATTGTTTTTTTATATTTTCATTTACGATTTAGTAATTTTCAAAAAATATAAAAAACTAGTTTTTTTAAATATTTTATTCTTTTTCTTTATGTATTTTTAATGGTTCAAGGATTTTTCAAACCCATAAAAATTAATTTTTCCGAAAATATTAACTATATCATTTCATTGGTATTTCATTAAAAATGTAAAAAATATCTTTTATATTTTATTCCTTTTCTTACATATTTTTAAAGAGTCAAAATTATGTAAATTTGGGAATTTTTGCAGAATTTGTCGCGTTTACTTTAAACTTTCAATAGGTAATTTCCCGACGTTTCGGCACTTAACGGCACCCATGCCAACTCCCCTCCTCCCGTGACCATAGACGCTGTAAAATATCCGACTGAAACTGAGATGTTTGTCCCGATGTCATAGTTAATAATTAAATAAATAGTTTACGAAGGCTACCTTCTAATTTTAAATGTTAATTTTGGTCTGATCTATGCAGAACAAGCTTATAGTATTTTGTCTATTAAGTCTTGCAGTAGTATGCTTAAAACACGTATTATATAAATGATGCGTTTCATAAAAATAATAGGTGATTAAATAAAAGCCCACGCATACCGGCACAGGGAACCGGTTAACTTTTTTACTATTTATATTACACAATGATCAGGGGTGAAATCGCTTTGACATTTTGAAGCTTAATCGGGGATAGATATAGTTGTCTACGGGCCACAGCATTCACTTACGATCAGGTGAACTGTGTGCTCGTTTGTCGCCATAGTTCTATAAAATATGTATTAAAATTAAATATATCCAGCTAAAACTACCGAAAATAATGGGAAAGCAAAGCAATTTAAAAAAAAACTTGCTTTTTATTAACAAGTAGTACAACCGAAATAAAAAGAAGATGCTTATTGAATACTAGACTAAATCTTAATAAATTTTTCAGAACAGCCAAAAGTATAACGGTTTAACAATAGAGGTTTTCAATTAGTTAATTAATAGTTTTCCTTAATTTAGGAAAGCTTATCAAAGCTAAATTACTGATTCCCCCGTCCCGTTACATGTAGCCTTTGTGATATATAAGACAATTTATGATGAAAATTAATTTCATCATAAATTGTCTTATATATCACAAAAGGGCGTACTTGCGGCTTCATCCTTGTTTCTTTGTATTTTGTTTAACAAAAGATTAATGTTGTTTTTTAAAATGTTTTAATAAAAAAGTTAAGTTGTTTGTAAAGGTCCGTATCGAAATCTCAAGTGATTTGAACCTATAAAAATTGTAATTCGTTGACCCAAAGTATTTTTAGTAAGTGTAATAAAATGAAATAGGTACAGAACGATTCTATATCGGTTATGCTGTTTGAAATTCACAAAGTTTGTATCAACGAAAAAATGGTACTTGAAAAATGATAACGTTGTAAATAATAACTAATTGATGACGTTGTTTAAAGACACTTTGCAGAAACCGCACCGCCGGTGCATGTCGGTATCATTTTAGTAATTACGAGTATACGTTAAATATATTAGATTAAAGTTTATAAAGTAGATTAAAAATAATGTTGGTATTTATTAATTATAAGTAAAGTCTGCCTTTTATTGAGCTGAAGGGGTACTTGGATACCTGCATGCTATTAAAACATAAATAACCATACTTTAAATTTTTGTCTCTCTCTCTCTGTCTGTCTGTCTGTTTGCGCTTAACATTTGAATGGCTGAATAGATTTTGATGAAACTTTACGAACAGATAACAAACAGATACGAACAGGAGAGACCTAAGACATATTTATTCATAAAATATGATCCTTTTTGAATAAATTTGTAAAATATAAGGTCTTTGATTATATTAAATCTCAATAAGGTCACATTAATAGATCCTATCCAGACGAAGCCAGGTTAAGTGGCTAGTTTAGTTTCATGTTACCAATAAAAAAACTAAAAAGATGGTTTTATACGAACTACATACGACGACATTATACCACGTCCTTATTGGCGATCCCATTTGAAGCTTATCACCATAAACAGGTTTGTCTTAATTGCTCGTTTTTTATGTATATCTTTCTTAATCATCACTTGAAAGTTATACATCAAATAAATTACAACATGAGTGAATATAAATGTCAAATAATTGAACTATTTTCTTACTAAAACCATAATTTTTATGCTGTATTCTATTCTATAAATAACTTTTATCTCATAATTGAAAAATCGCCAATAAATCAGTAAATTACGTATCCCTTATTTAAATTTAGGATTTGGCTCGCTGATCCTGTTTTACTATTTCTAGTTCGTTGTAATTTATTGTTCTCAGGACTTTGTTTTTTTTTTTTGTATTTTTGAAGCTCTAAATCTTCTTAATGCTATCCGTACTAATAGATTTTTTATAAGTATTGTACTTACGAACAAGAGTTGCGTGAAGGCAGAAAAGCAAATCATAAATTGACTCGATAAAAAAAATTAAAGATGGTACTTAATTGCTAATAAAACATGTTCCTACCAGAAACTCCAAAATAAAACCGTGTAAAAGTTATATCAACTGTACAGGCTTATTGTTTTTTGATAATGTTTCGAATACATTTCTCAAATTATTTTTAAAGACAATAAATAAAATCTAATGAAGAAAACTAAACAAAATAGAACAGTTCAAACGCTCGAACCCGCTTGAAAAAAACGTAGTTTTCAAAGTCAATATGCGTGCGACGGAAGGAACTATGGTCGAAATATCTCTGCAAGATAAGCTCAGTAACGAATATATCCACAGAAAGACAAGAGTAACTCACGTAGTTCAACGGTCGGTGAGCTGAAGTGGCAATTGGCCGGCGGTTCTCGAGTGCGACCACGTACTGGTAAGCGCAGTGTCACTCACTGCGGATATCGGAAATTGTGATGCGATATCATATCCGTGGCGATTTAGTGAGAAAATACTCACACGTTTAACTTCCAAAGTTTAAAAGTGTATTTTGCAACTACAGCATCTTTTTTTTTTGTTTCAGTAACCGTTTCTTTGAACATCACTCTACTGGCATGTAGTACTTTGGGACTCATCGCTTGTGTTGTTCTGATTTTAGGTGTCTACAAGGTAAGATAAGATCACGGTATCTCTATAAGACATAAATTATACCTGTGTGAAAAACTTATTAAAATGTGAAAAGTATCCTTTAGATCCATATTAAACATTGCATACATTAGTATCTTAGTCTGTGGGTGGTGGGATATATGGCTCAACATCACAAGTCTTGTGCTAATATAGACCCCTATAAATATCCGTACAGGGAGAATATTTTCCAACGTTTCACGCTTGGCAAGTAAAGAATTAACTTCGATTTTATTTCTGAAAATTGATTTTCAATTGTTTCTGCATTATTACCTTGTTTTTCGATCACCTGTGAAGTTAGTGGACATACTGGTCGCTATAAACATACGCACTGACAAATCTTTCAAAGTTTTTTAGTGCGTCAAGCACTTGTAATGGTACTCCCAGTTCTGGTTTTTACTTTGAACTTAGTCCACTCAAATGCGTTATAATTTAATTTTATCAGTTCAAATGTCACCAGTGCTGTGCAGTCGATCGTACATATTAAGTAGATTTTTAATTTTACCTTCCTCCAGATGTCACTTACGTTTAACCACCTGGTTTAATTTATCTTTTTACTGGACAATAGTTTTAATATTTTTATGCTACAGCATTTTTTTGACACACAAACTTGTTAGAGCTTTCTAACGTGGTAGAGCCATGCTGCGGCTACATTAGTAGTATAGTTGTAGCACGAATGGGTCGGCTCGACCGGGGAAGGACCACGCTCTCACAGAATACTGGCGTAAAATAGCAGCTTAACACTGCTGTATTTCGTATGGTGAGTGTAGAGAACCGGAGACCCTTTTTACAGGAAAAGAGGCATTCCATCTTAGTCCTGTCGGTTGACAACGCATCTGCATTTTGATTCGCAAACGAGCATGTAGATGTCTATGGGCCACAGCAACCATTTACCATCAGGTGGACTGTGTGCTCGTTTACCACCCTATCCTATAAAAAAAATTGATTGAGCTTATCAATATAAATCAACAGAAAATTGACTAGGATTTTTTCCAGGATATGAAATTTATGTTGCTGCCGTGGATCGTCGCAATGGGCCTTGAAACTCTTGTTGAAGTTATCAATCTCGTCTATCTGTTTTATTTACAGACTGTAAGTAATAAACATAATCAAGTAAGTTTAAATATTATTTTATTTAAAGATTGTTTTGATACTACTGTAAATTTTATAAGAGTTAAGATAATTAAAGTAATTAATTATTTGGTTTAAATATGATATCATATTAAACATATTATGTTATGTGTTGTTAGGATCTTGTGTTTGTATTTTTTAATGTTGAGGCTTAATCTCAAGAAAATTCACAACATAAAATTAATAATTCTACGTTAAAAATAACAATGTGTGATTTTTGACATTACGAGCTGATTTTTTAATTCTACTTCTCTATTTTCCAATTACGATCGATCGAATAGCTACCCAACTGATTTATTGAACTGTAAAGCAACGCTAACTTCTGTGGTCTGAGAGCTCATCACGCATTTTTCATGAAGTGTTTGATCATGAAACTTTGTTGATAAGTATCAGTCCAGTCAATAAGCAGTAAGGACTGTTGGCCTAGCTTGCCTAGGTACACCCAATACTGCGCATATACGTAAGTCGCAAAAAAATTCGCCCAAAAAAGGTGTTTGATTTAAATAATTATAAAGACTATCCGTCAGCTAAGTTGATAAAGAATTAATTTAAAAAAATGGCAAACTCTTCTGAAGGGGTTGACATAAGGGCAAACTGGATAGTTTGCCCTTATGTCAACTTGCCTCAAAGTCGTATTTTCATTCTGCCATTTTTACAATATTATTTATATGCTTATTGAGTGGACTGATACTTTTTAACAGTTTTATGATGCATCAAACACTTCATGAAAAATGCTTCATGAGCTCTCGGACCACTGGGAGTTGAAACAAAAATATTGTATTATATTATATTATTTCTATTTTTATAGCAACAAAACGTCACAATTAAATATTAATTGTCATTTTAAATCGAGGTAACATTTTCCTAGTATAACTAAAAACAAATAAACAACTAATAGCTAACGTATTTAGTATGCGAACTAATATATGTCAATAGTAATAGAATCAAAGAAAATATAGCGTATGGCTAATTTTAATAAGATCAATTCAATTTTTAAAAATTCAAAAAATTCAAGATAAGATTCATTCGATACTAACTCATTACATCGGTAATTTTATACCTCTGTTTACATTTAATTTTTACCTCTGATCAAGGAAAGTAAATAATTTCTCAAACTCTTTTGAATCTCTGAAAAGATGATGAAATGTTTTTGAATCATACAAAATAAAGTGATTGAGTCCGAATCTGAAAATTTTTATTATTTCTTCAGGTAGATTTATTAATTCATGTATAAAACCTCTTCCTTATTCGCCAGACCATCAACTCTATAAAAAATATCCAATAAAATTATAGTTATCTTAGAAAAAATGCAAATAAAACAAATTCAAGAAATATCACTCTAAAGTAAAATGTTATGTATAACGTAAGAGGCGACAGCGGGAAACTAAAACAGGAAATGGACAAAAACATCTTCCTGATAACCACCCAAAAATAAAATCCGCCTACCGAGTGTGGAAAAAATTACCCCTATGAGGCAATCTACTACCCCGTAGATTTCCTCATATTTATAAAGTTCTGAAATGTTACTCCTACTAAAATTTTTGGTCCCACTACTCGTACAAGTACGTTTAAAGTCTAGAAAATTTAGATTTAAATTACCCTAAATCATTAGGCTATTATCACTAATCAATAAAATTACTTAAAGTAATTTATAATATATTTGTTATTATTATTCAATTGTTTCCCTTAATAATTGAATTATTAAAAAAATACATTTAAATCTATACTAATATAATAAAACGGAAGAGTTTTCTTGTTTTTTTGTTTGTTTAAACGCGCTAATCTCTGGAACTACCAGTCCGATTTGAAAAATTATTTTTGTATATCATAGCCAGATTCATGTGGAATAGTATAGGCTATCTATCATTAATCTATATAACTTAGCTAGCGTTAAATATGGATATTTGTTAAGCAAGTCAGAAGAAAAAGCACTCCCGAAATGATTTATCTACGTACGCTGGTACGTTATATATAATACGTAAATACAATGTTCTAGGAAAATATAGATCTTTACTCCGTCTAAAAAAAGTCTGCGATACCATATGTCTGTTTCTTATACATAAGCCATAATTAGGTATTTTGTGACAGAAAAATATTGAAAATTAAAAAGTGATTTATGAGCGTTATTATTTGGCATGGCCTATTTATCCTTACGAACGAAAGTTACTTCATCATCAAGACAATTTTATGAAGGTAAACTTTGTTCTTTATACCATTTCATTTGGACGTATAATTGAAGAGATAATGTAAAATTAAAATAATTCAATACTTGGCTGGGCGCGCGAACGACGCATAAACCCTAGCCGCCCGGTGAGAACTGCATGAAGCCAGTATTCAAAGCTTCTATGAGCGAGGTTAGTTGAATCATTATAGCTAAAATCAAATAAAAATTGATTGAGTGCTTTTATGACAATGATTAGTTACATCTTTATTTCTGAACTCTTTCATTTCACGTTGCTATGGTATTTTGAAAATTTTATTGATTAATAAGTATAAGAATTTGATAGCTCAAGAATCATTTCATGCCTACACACTTTTCATGTATCGTGTACGGTTTTCTTTAAAACTGGAAAAACCGCGCTTTGGGTTACTTTCTGGGACGTGGGGGGGGGGGGGGGAGAAAGTGGAAATTTAACTACGCTCTACATCATACATAATATGTCGACAGATAAAAGTAGTCCATTAATTATGCCAATTTTTCCATACATTGCTATCACATAAAATATTTAATTGCAATTATAAAATGCTTGAACTAGGTCATGCCGCGCACCTCCGACACGAGATGACGCGGGTGAAACCGCGGGGCACAGCTAGTAAATAATATTCATTGAAGGGGTTGTACAATATTTGTATATAAAATTAACGTAAAAAAATTTTATATCATGATGCCTTCGTTTGGTCTTTTTTATCTTAATAAAAATGTTTTAGTCGTGCCTTGAATAGAAATGTACAGAAATTTTTAAGTACACCCATGCGTTGTTGTACTGAGGCATTACAACTTTTAATTTCTTTTAAGAGTTAAATTTAGTCTTAAATATACTGTATAACAGGAAAATATTCAATGAAAGAAGACAGCTATAATTAATAAATGAAAAATTTGGAAATTTGAATTCGCTATTATAGGGCGGAATTCGCTTAAAGCTTGTTTCTCAGCCTAATTATATACAAGCATTATACAAATTATAATACAATTTAGTTTTAACATCACGATTCCCGGTGGTGTAGTATTGTTTTAACACGTGCATCCTTTTGCGTTGTTAAATACTTGTAATTTGCAAAATTTACTTGAACGAAATAAAACTTGTTTAATAATGTGTTAAATAAATAATAATCAAAGTAAAAAGTAAATTAGTAGGTCATTTTTAATGAGAACAGAGAACCGAGAACAGAGATCTATTGCTAACAATTAATACTAGACATTTACCGTTTTTGTTACACCACACACGATACTTTAGCTTATTATTATTTAAGCCATTATTTTTCTCTTAGTTCATGTCCGCAATTGTTTATTTCATGTCATTCCTACCGGAAATAAAACATATCAGCCAAAAATGTTATCTTAACGCAGTAATCTCAAAAAATAAATCTTTCTCTATTTTAAAACACACATAGGAAATATTAATTACTGGTAGAATTCCATTGGAAAATTCTACTGTTACGAAAAAATGTAACGAACGCTTGTAGCTCCAGAGACGACGAACTTTTACAATGAATATTGCTATTGTATTCGTAGGGCATGGCCAGCCGCAAAGCGGGAAACGTAGGGTGATGAGCAAACACGACCTAATTCTTGATTTGAAAGGCAAATAACTTCTTTGTTTGAATTGTCGTTTAGCTATGTCAATCATATAAGAAGTAAAATACATTTAACAATTATTTATTTAGCACTAACGCAAAAATTTAACCGACGTACCGTATCATTTTAACATAAAAGAAAGTATTTCTTTTTAATAGCATACAATTAAAGTAATACTAATGATAATTTATCTATCCATTCATTACAGCCTATAAAAGTCCACTGCTGAACAGGCAAAATTATATGAACATAGATATGTTTCGTTATGAATGACAAGCTCGTGGAAACTGTCCATGCGGTTGGAGCTAAGTTTTGCAAGACCCGCCGCAGACGAACACAAAAACTCACCGCCCACACTCTTAATCTCATGGCTATTAGACGGGATATGAAGCTGCAGTCTTCAGTAGATTTGACAGCATACAGGCAACTGAACAGACAGATCTCCAAATGCATGCGGCGGGACTTGCGCAACTTTAATACTGCTCGTATTGAAGAAGCAATCGAGCGGAACCAGGGCTCCAAAGTCTTTGCTAGAAATCTGTCTGCGAGAAAGAGCCAACTGTCGACGCTGAAGACCGAGTGTGGCAGCGTCGTTTCCAGGACACCTGAGATTTTGATTGAGATTGAGAGGTGCTATGGGCAGCTGTACAGATCATCGTAGGAGCCATACGTAAGTGTGAGTAACGATCCAAGAGCGAGTCTTATCCGACACTATTCCGATGATATCCCGGACGTAAGTCTAAGCGAGATTAGAATGACTCTCCAGCACCTTAAAAACGGCAAAGCCCCAGGCGAGGATGGAATTACAACAGAGCTTCTGAAAGCGGGTGAAAAACCGGTACTTGAAGTCCTTCAGAAGCTCTTTAATTCCGTCCTCCATGGTGGCACTACACCGGAGGCGTGGAGTAGAAGTGCGGTGGTCTTATTCTTCAAGAAAGGTGACAACGCTCTCTTGAAGGACTACAGACCGATTTCCTTTCTTTTTTAAGTTAATTTAATACACAAATTATATTTTATACCTATGCTATCATATTAAAGCATTTATACCTTCTTGTTTATGACATCTACAAACAGTAGTATATGTACCTGGCGTTTTCTTTTAATCAGTTCATCTTATTATTTAGCTTTTATAACTTCATAAAACTGTGTCATTATTAGTTTTATTGCTCTTTTATTTTTCAATAATAAATAAGATTTACAGAGCGATTTAATGTGTATTATATTATAATAATATAAATAAGAACAGCTGCAATATTAGATTGGATTCTAAGTAAACCCGGTAGTTGGCTGACTCATGTGCTGTAATATCAAGCAATATTCAATATTATTAATTATTTGTTGGAGCACAATTACTTCAATTCTAAGAATTGAGATAATATACAGTCCCCAATCATGTCGCATCACTCGGCTCGGCTCATTCACGGATTCGGTCTTGATGATCGTAATAATGACTCTTGTGCACATTTTTACGCATCTAGTCTACAACAAACATTAATGGTTCAAACATACCTATTAATTGTAAAAAGAAAATTATATATAGTAATTTTGAGTAGATAGAGGCATTCAAAAAGTATTTATCAATAAACAATTGTTCCACGGGCTAAAGGGCTCAAAACATATACAAAACGTTTTAAAATAATTCGAAAGTGGTGAAAAATAATTCAAAAATGGTAAAAAAATTGGAGCGTAAAATTGTGTAGAGCTTATAACTCTTATAATTAAGGTCAAACTATTTATTTTAGACTTGTAAGAGCTATACAGCTCTAATGAACATCAAAATCTACACCGGTTGGCAAATAGTGAGTGCCAAAATGTTGGATGGCGGTTTTCATAAAAAATTTCATGATTCACATTTGTTTTATATTGAACTTTTTTCTAGCACTTGCCCTTTTAAAAAATCCGGAAGGGTTCAAAAGCAGTATTTTGTAAAAATAATGCTTTTTTATTGACAAATAGCTTATGAATGCCTCTAACAAAAGTAATAAAGAAAACAAGCTAGCCCTTTTAGAAAGACAGTATAATATGATGAAATATTCAACAGAAATTCAAGAGAAAACAACATCGTATTGAGGAAGGTGTATTAATTTATTGTGTGCTTGTGTTCTTGTATCGTGTATGTGAATAAAAATAATGAAATGAAATGTTTGTTTATGAATGTAATAAATACCGGCTCCACCGGGGTAGTACCACGCTCTCACAGAATATCAGCGCAAAATAGCAGCTTCATGCTGCTGCGTCTCGTATGGTGAGTGTAGAGAACCAGAGACCCTTTTTATTGGGAAAGAGGCGTCCCATCATAGTCCTCACAGGTGACAAAGCATCTGTATTTTGATTAGCAAACGAGGATAGATGTAGATGTTTATGGGCCACAGCAACCACTTACCATCAGGTGGACTGAAAAGAAATTAACTTTATATAAAATATGAAATATTTTAGACATATAAAAAAAGTAGAGTACAGTAAAAATAATCCATATTATATTAGTAAATTTATCTGTTTATCCCTGTTCTATTAGTCTAGTTCTATTAGTATCCTTTATCCCTTCAGTTTGAGTTACACCATTATAGAACATTCTTTTTAGGTGCTAAAGCGTAGTTCCTTTTTTACAGCTCAACTTTAACCCGATTACTTCGTTCCTGTTTACTTTGGATTTCTTCATCATCGCGCTTAATGTAAGTTTTTAATAGTTGCTTTAATCGCTAAAGATAAAAAAGACCTTTAGCCTCGCTGGTGATACTATTTTGTTAAGGAATATTTACAAAAAAAAACATTATTTTGCAAACTATCAAACATAAACAAACTATGAAATATATTACTCTGGATCAGAAGTTATACTAGGATACAACACTAAGCTCTTAATGCAGCTTTAAAATAATATGCAACTTATTATTACTTATACATTATTACTTATGCGGTATAAGGATATCCTATACCTTCCATGGGTCAACAGGCGACGGAGGGAAACAAGCCAGGGCGGCAGCATATTCCTAATAACAACTAAAAAAATTAAAACTGCGGTTGCCAACACGCCTGTCAAGTATTGCAGCTTTGAGAAATATCCCCTATGAGGCAAACTATGAGGGAGGCCTACATTCAGCGGTGGACTTATATTCTTGAACTTGTTTACAAAACTATATTAAAAATGTGTAACATTAGTTAATAAACGGCTACTAGTGATGGTGTAATCTTTGGTGAAAATCAAAAATAAAACTTATAATAGGCTGAACAGTTAGTATTTTAAAGCAACTCGGCTCGGGTCGCGGTCGCCATCTTGCTCTACATAAATTAGCAGTAAAGTGTTTATAATTAAAACTTACGGTTGGTTACACTTTTGCAACCTAAATTCTTAATAAGGCTTCTGATTAACAACAATTTTGTAGAGGGAAATATAATTACGTTTGTTCTCAAACATTGACGATAGTTGTTTAAATTTAACAATATTATTAGATACTTGTTATGCTTTAACTAATATATATGTATATATATATATATATATATATATATATATATATATATATATATGATTTAAATCTAGCCTAATAATAGTACTACCACCGGTAAGCAGTTTTAAGTAAGTTAAACAGATATTTATAAGCTAATAGTGCAACTGAAATTACAGACAGATCCTCAACAGGGATTGTTCCGTTTGAAGAGCCAACGCTTAGACTTAACCAGCTTAGTACTCGTAAATAAATGCAGTTGTAAGTTGAAAGTGTACGTTTTATAACGAAATCAACACTGTTAATTGTTTTAAAAGCATGTAAAAACTTTTTTAACCAAAAGAAAGCATTCTTTGCAAGAAATATTCATGAACATATTACATTCTAATTTCCTAGTTTAGTTAAGGGTTAGTGGCCATAACAAATTGAAAGCTTCAATTTACTTTCTTATTATACGGCTCTATATAAATAGTATACAGAAATATTTACTCTTTACAGCCTATCAAAAGTCCATTTTAATGTAAAAAATTAAGTTTAAAAAGCAACTTAGCATGACTATAAGCAGCGGCACGAAAGTCTAGCGGTGACTGTTATTGCGCATAAATCGAAGCCGCTTAATACCCCATAAGGCATTATGGGGTAGAAAGCGTGGTGCAGGGCGAGCGTGCGTATCGTTCGCACGCGCTAAGCGGTTTTCCAGTCGCATTACTGCAATTCAATTCGTGCGCGATAGTGCCTATTCGCAGCTATCCCCCTCCGCGTCCCGTTCAGGGCTAGACTTACGTGCCGCGACCTGTACCTTGTCAGTCTAGCAGTCGTTAGGGCGAAAAACAAAATACGGCAGCAAAATTGTTAGTAATTCGTTACATCAAGGAAAATTAAAATTGTTCTACTGATATTAATTAATGAAAAGGGATTAGATTGTTTTTCATTTTTAATTTAACGTGCCGTGCGAGCTTTAAGAGTCATGTCACGTCGTCATTTGAGTCGAGATGAAATGTTACGACCCGTGGGCATGTTAGATAATGGTGCTATTCAACGCGTCGTTGCTGAGGCCCTACACACCAGCCAAAACGTAATATTATCATGGTTCTAGTCACGTTTCCGCAGTACTGGGGATGTGGCTGAACTGCACACGGATAGATATCGTGTTCTACGCAGAGACAGGACCGATTTCTCCAAATGAGCGCCAGAAGAAAACTCAATATCACAGCGATTCAACTACTACAAAGGCTCCATGAATACCACCAGCTGCTGGCAAGCGACCAAACCGTCTGAAGGAGGTTGCATGAAGTTGGTCTTTATGCCTGACGACCGCTACGTGGTCCAGCATTGCGACGTGGTAATCGCGGTTGGTGGCTTTCGTGGGCTCGGGAGCATTTACCATGGAGTGACGAACAATGGTCTTTGGTGCTGTTCACCGATGAGTCCCGGTGTGGGTTTCATCCGGATTCACTAAGAACACGCGTTTGGATAACTTTAGGAAGAGTTAGCCGTCTACGACACCCTCAGGGGGTCCTCTCATACCAAGGCGGAATAATCAAGGTGGTGGCAGGAATTCGTCTTGGCGGATGAATCCAGCTCGTTTGGACCCACGGCAGCATGAGTGCACAAAAATACCATGAGAAGGTAGTAGGGCCTGTTATTGTCCCACACAGAATCCAAACGGGCCAGGAATTTCTACGCATGCGATAATGCTCCTTCTCATAGGGCACGGCTGATGTCGGCTGCTCTCCGACTTGTCCATAACTTGAATATCGGGTATCAATATTCAAGTTATGGATTGGCCTGCACAGTCGCCCGACTTAAATCCTATCGAGCATGCCAAATTTGACGATGGAACAATAACTTTATACGAACACTTGCAAAGAACATGAGACCTCATACCGCAGCAAGGCATTGACAATTTAAAGTATATACAATCGATGTGGGTTTGAAATTAATGTAAGAGGTGGCAACACTGGTTATTAGTAATTAAATTCAGTAATAAAAATAAAATTAATAGTATTTAAAGAAGAAATGAAGTTTTGTTATCATACTAATTTTCTACGGCGATTAAAAAATTAACATAAAAAAAATTACAAAATGTTTTCATTTCTTATTAAAGACCTTAATAATAACATTCATATATATATATATATTCCAAAAGAAAATGTTTCATAGAGTTTTAGATATTTGATGAAATATGTAACAACCCCAGATAGTGTTGATGTGTGCATGTTCTGTGACTAGAACTTGTTACGGACGCGACGGCGGGGGCGTGCAGTGGCCACAGTGACAAGCGAGCTTTTGGAGTGCTTAGACCCTATTTCAGGAGTTGCAAATCATGGTGGTAACTTTTGTCCCCCCCTCCCCCTTTTTCCGAAGTTGAAATCCCTTCTTGGATCCCTCCAATAAGGTGTTCAGAGAGAGGCAGAACTAGATTGGACTCAAACAATGAGGCTTTCCGCAGTCGTCATCCCCTCAGATGACAAAGAATCATATACACTGCCCGAGGAAGTATCTAACTGTACAGTCAAACTTGTACAGCTTGATAACCCATTTAACCATGTATATATATACCACATACCTGGTAGTGGAGAAGTTCCGAAGGTTGCTTTGAACCTCTTTGCTAACGACTGCATCAATAAGAAGTGCTTGGTTCCTTGGTTCCACAATCTCAACTTGGACATCCATTTTGAGCGCGTGACATCACCTGATTTAAGTCCAAGTAACGAGTGATTCTCGCGTTCAAAATGAAGTAAGTGTTCTTGTATATGGTAGGTAGGTGGTATTTGCTCGTGTCTGTGGTATCCTGATAGTTTGGGAACCAAGTAAGTGATCCTAGTAGTGATCTGGCTCGGGAGTTACTTCTGGTTGAAACCCTCTTGAAATTGTTGGGTAAACACAGCGTGACACACCATGAACCCGTTAACGTACGTAGTAGTGATGCAGCCGATCAAGTCCTGGACCTTTCCAGATCGGGGCTCTACGAACTGCCTCAGCCACATCGTCCAGTGTTATAAAGCCTGGTCCATAGACATAACATTTGCACACTGACTCGCCACATGTTGTTTACGGGCTCTGACCACAAGCCAAACCAGTATGCTACAATGTCGGCCTGATTTGGTTCTTGGCCCGTCCGAAATACTCACTCCGATGATTTATAGAACTTCCACTCATCTCTCTGAACAATTTTGACCTCGCAATATAGCCCCAAATCCGCATCCCCCAAGCAGCAATTCTCTGCTTCAGGTCGTCTATGCGTTCCGTCAGTTTTCAGACAAACTGACATTGCTCTCATTCTTATGATCCTGACGATGCGCACCATTCTTGGTCTGTTGTTGTCCAACCTGAAGCTTGTTACTCTGCCGATGAGGACCCTTGCGATACGGTCCTCAGCTCTTTTTCTCTATGCTGGGATGTCGCTATTTTGTCTATTGGCGTGTCCAGCCGTAAAAAACAGTGGTAGAGCCACGCGGCAGCTTTTGCTGTCGCACGGATGGTCCGGCTTGAACCGGGTTGGTACCACGACCTCACAGAAAACCAGCGTGAAGTAGAGGTTTACCTCTGCGTTTCGCTTGGTGAGTGCAGGTGGCCGGAGGCCCTTTTTACTGGAAATGAAGCATTCCATCTTAGTCCCCACGGATGACAACACATCTACATTTTGATTTGTAATAGAGGATAGATGTAGATGTCTATGGGCCGCAGCAACCACTTACCATCAGGTGGACTGTGTGCTCGTTTGTCACCCTTATCCTATAAAAAAAGAAGTTTGGCGCCAATAATACAGCAAAATGCCAGTTCGGTGCCAATAAAAACTGAGTCCGTATGCCAAAAGTCTCGACTGTCACAAATAGGTGCTCAGCATTAGACTTAGAGCTCTAACGGACAGCCCAAGTCGATTTTTTAAAGGTGTACTGCGTATTTCCGTAATGACTTCTTCCAATATGCTCTCAGGTGTCCTAGTTGCTCTGCAGCTTGTGGCGCCCTATCCCCAGCCATAGCGTTTCCATCCGATGAGGAAACAGGCTCACGCCGTAGTTGTTTGAGAGTTCGGCACCATGTTTCTCAGTGTGCCATCATCTATTTTATGGAAATCAAATAACGAGAGACGGCCAGACCCGGCACCGTTTTATGGTTCAGCCATATGCGCAAACCGACCTTTGCACCCTCAATTTTGCCGATGTAGCGCGCTCACACCTCTTGGCAGGGTGCTGACTAACTGCGCCGATGTAGCAATTTTGTCACTTATCTGTTACGTCAGCAGGCGATAGAGTCATCACTTCCCTACGTCATTTTATTAGATGTTGATGTTTGTGGGGCACAGCATCCATTTGACTATGCGCTCTTTTGGCATCCTCATCTATACACCTGTATAAAGTAGAAAATTAAATCTGCAGGATAACTTTCGAAAATAATTCTAATTTGATTTCGTTTTTGATTCAAACTACCTTTCTTCGAACTCGTATATCTCTTACCAATTCGAGTCGATAATCAAGCGGTACCAGCGCCGTTAGGCACATTTAGCTGATTACATCACAGTAAAATTTTAATGCATATAAAGTCATCTGATCATATTTAAAACAAGATATTTTTTAGCATTTTTCTAGTAAATATAAAAAAATAAAAGAAACATAAAAAACTTATTGTGATATACATTAAATTTATACTTATTGCACTTTAATTATCAAACTCAAGTTTTTTAATTGGAGTGAACTTAGTAGGTATACTGAAGTTAAATTTTAACTGTTTTACTTTACTCTGCGTATAATTTTGTATTAATTAAAAAAGACTAAATATTCTTCAGAAAGCTATACATGACTCGTCAGTTGTGAACAACAATTGAGGATTAACAGTCCAAATATTTCCAAAGCATGCAAGAGTGGTCAATAGCTTTCGTGGCGCAACAAAAGACTCCAAGTCTGATTTACAACATATTTTTTCTTGGCCGAATTTACATGCAGGGGCTCACAAACACGCAAGGCGAGGTATAACCACATAAATTTCGAAAGAAAATTATCAAAAATATTAAATAAATCGCATTATAAATCCACACAAGCTTCGTGTTTTTTGTATCGTGTATTTTTATTTACATTCGATTTAGATCGAATTCTTCGATTGACTACTACTATACAATCTAGTTAGGACTACGGACTTTTTTTTTAATCCTAACAATTAATACTCTGTACATTTGCAGAGACGAATTTATCCTAAATTAAATATTTTAATATTAACTTACCAAGATACGCGGATCTAGGTGCTCTTCAAACAAGGTAAGACACATCATTTTATTTTATTAAGCGGATCTTAGCAAGTAAGTATATTAAAGATTTTAAAATTATTAAATCTTTAATATAAAAGATTTGCGCAAAGTAACGCCCGATTATATTAACGAGTTTATCCTTTATACCTTATTACGGCTACGTAACAATGATGCATGATACCAAATTAATGAACGAGCACATATAGTATGTGGATGTGAAAGAAGTGAGAGAGGTGTCAGAAGCGTGACAAAAAGTATGTTGTGTCTACCCTTCTGGTTGACAGTTGTTGCAGTTTATTTATTCAAATATATAATAACAATATTGTATCATATACATCTGTGTAATCTTAACAAGAAGAGCTATTGAGTTTTAGTTATAAACTGATCCACTTATTGAGTACTATTTTTGGTGTAAACCGAAAACATATACGAAAAAATAGACGTTTACTAAAATCTTGTTTCTAAGTAAGAAAATATGACATTACTTTGTTTCTTTCAGGTTTATGCTATGATTTGCGTAATATCACAGTTTCAAGAGTACTTAGAAGGTCGAGGTACTGCTGCTTTTGATGATTCGGACAGGGTGAGTCATTGTTGTTAATATATAATGAAACATTTCAGTTAGTTTAGTTTAGGTAGAGCCGAAATTCAAAATCAAATTGTACAGAAGTCCGAGGAGTACAATTTGCCACTATGTCTGGCGTATGTGGACTATGAGAAAGCCTTTGATTCCGTCGTAATTTGGGCGGTGCTGCAGTCCCTTCAGCGATGCCAAGTTGACTGTCGGTATATCGAAGTGTTGAAGTGCTTGTACAGTAGGGCTACGATGGCTATCCGAGTACAGAACCAGAGTACGAAACCTATTCAATTGCAGAGAGGTGTAAGACAGGGTGACGTCATATCCCCGAAACTCTTTACCGCTGCATTGGAATATGTTTTCAAGCTTCTGGACTGGAAAGGATACGGTATCAACATCAATGACGAGTACGTCACTCACCTTCGATTTGCCGACGATATAGTCTGGTATATAGCTGGAGGACCTAAGCACTATGCTCAATGACCTCAATATGTTTAATGTCCATGTCACACCTATGCCGGTAGTTGTTGGGAACACTAAGCTCGAAGTTGTTGACGAGTATGTTTAGCTGGGACAAATAGTCCGACTAGGTAAGTCCAACTTCGACCGAGAGGTCAATCGACGGATTCAACTCGGCTTGGCAGCGTTCGGGAAGCTACGACACATTTTCTCGTCAGACATACCTCAAAACCTTAAAACGAGACTGTACACCCAGTGCGTGTTGCCAGTGATGACATACGGAACTGAGACGTGGTCCTTTACTGCTGGCCGGATGACGAAGCTCAAGGTCGCTCAGCGAGCTATGGAGAGGGCTATGCTCGGAGTTTCTCTGCGTGATAAACTCAGAAATGAGGATATCCGCAGTAGAACCAGAGTGACCAACATAGCCCAACGGATTAGTAAGCTGAAGTGGCAATGGGCCGGCCATATAGCTCGAAGAACCGACAACCGATGAGGAAGAAAGGTTCTCGAGTGGCAGCCTCGTAGCGGCAGATGAAGTGTAGGACGTCCCGCCACTAGATGGAGTGACGACCTGGTAAGATATGCAGGAAGTCGATGGATGCAGGTGGCTCATGACCGTGCTTTGTGGCATTCTTTGTGGGAGGCCTATGTTCAGCAGTGGACTTGTGAAGGGCTGTAATGATGAATGATGATGAGGTAGAGCCGATTAGCGGCTGTCCCAATAGACTAAGTTTTTGTTCAAGCTCTAGCAGCACTAAAGGACATCATCATAAGTGGTAACACTCTAGCGTCATTTGATTTAAATTAAAAAGCCGCGTTTAGGCATATATATAATTATATATTATTTTAGTAAAATTTCTTGTACTATTATTTTTATTCCATGGTAAAATGTCTAGTGATTAATTCTTTTCAATTCGTTTTTAATTGTATTATTGTTTGACAATAAATAGTTATATTGATCTTTCTTATTTTTTTTTCCTTTAGTTAAGTGGGCATACTACTCAGCGATTCTCCAATACGGAGTCGCGAGTAACGGTGTAAGCTGATTATTTTATTATTTAACTATATGTTGAATGAGGCAAAAATTTATGTTCCGTTTGAAAATAAATCCAACTAATAATATTTTGTGGAATCATTAATTTCAATTTAATTGAGCAATAATGTAATTAGTTTGATGGCTGTTGGCTTTACTTTTATTACATAATCTGTCGCTCTATTGTGTAGTTATTTTACGCAATACCCTGTGACGGATCGATGTGCGTAAAAAATTTCATACTTTCTGTCCTTAAACCTATATGTTAAACGTACCTAATGATTTCATACTCTTTGCCTGCATGTTAACTAGTTTCATTACAGGATACTAAGGGTCACTTTAAAAAAAAACAACAATTTATTTTTTGTGTGAATCTCAGATGAAATTTTAAGTTGTATTTTCTTTTACTGTAACATTAACTTTCTTTTCTCTTCCTTTTTCATGTGGTCTATCATTAATAAATGTGTATGGTCTAACAGAAAATGCTCACTTTTATTTGTTTTTTTAATTAAATATGCGATATCATTGTTTAACAGATAATTAATATTTATTCACTTAAAAACTAATGACGCATTTAGAAATTTCATACTTTAAATAAAATTAAAATTTTAGCTCGCCGCAGTGCAATACACTGCCACTGCCCAACATACCACCACCACCAGCTCTGCCCCAAGTGGTCGCCGTCGATCCGCCGGAAAGCCCATGCCGAGTCGTTGTGATCCCGAGGAATTCTCAGAGGCCCCAACAAAGGCGATTAGTGAGTAAATTAATCTTATAATAATTAGAAAAAAATAATATAAAAATGTTTTATTTATTACAGCTTATAAATATTCATAGTATAGTAAATATTAAATTCTCAGACATTTGTTCCGATAATTAGCATACATCTACAATACATTTTACTTGTAAAGTTACTTGGATATTATAATTCCTATTTTAATATAATTTTGCGAACAATATATTCTTATACAATTAAACAGAGGTATTATAATAATTATAATCTATTACAAGAATATTGATCATAAATCTACCGTTATTTGAATTTTATAGAATAAATTTTTCTCTAAAATAAATATATAAATTTAGATTTTTGACAGCTTCCGCTCTTTCGAAACCTTCTCGCTCAGCGGTAAAAAAACACGTACAGTTTCCCGATGAACAGAGTTGCATCGAAGAGGCCACTGAAGCTCCAGAGAACATAGAAGAAAAACCCGGTAAGTTTAAAATCAATAACAATTTAGAAGTTGACAGCACTGCCACAAACTTGATATTTTATTTAAAAAAAATGTTCTACCTTACAATGAAATTACAATGATTAACTTTTTTTTTACGTACACCATAGCCAAACGCCGCACAAAATAGTATTTTTATTCTGTTCTTAAAGAACAATTATTATTATTTATTTGAATTAATAAAATATAAATGCAATAATACAAATATTTTATAAAATACATATACAATTAATACTTCAGACTCAAATGGACTAAGGTGATAAATATAGTTATTATGTTACCCTAAATTATTATAGTTTCCTGTGGTGCGGTAACACATAGAAACCTGTTAAAATCTCACAAAAATTCTCATCCTTTTATGCACTTTATGTGCAATTAGTATTTCAGGTATCTGGGTGATAATTTAGTAGTAGGTAGTATAATATTTAAATACGACTTATTATGAATGTTTTTCAAATCTTAATACATTAAATCATACTAATTTATACCTTATACCATAATACCATAAACCATATAATAATAAACCTTAATTTCTAACAAGAATGACTACTGCATATCGTTAACGTTCCAAGCGGCTTAGTGTTAGGGGCTGTAATTTCACTTATTTGACATTAATCGTACAAGGTGATTTAATCAAATTGTTTAATATGTGCGCAGTATAAGAAAAGAATTTGAGTTAAAACTTTATTTTATAAACGTCAATTGTATAACAAACAACCACTTGTAAATTTTTATTATTAGAGAAACAATAATATGCGGCACATAATAAATATTTGTTTTTCCACGCCCAAAAAAACGCGCTTGAATTATGTAAGTGTTCAGTTTGAATCGATATGTCAATTTGACAGTTCTATTCTTATTGGTTTCCATTAAGTCATCTAGACTACACACAAAAACTTTAGAGCTCTGACTGAACATTAGTTTGCCACGTCCTAATTATAATTAATCCACGTCCTAATTATAATAAGTCCTAATAATAATTATACCCGAAGGACGAAATTGATTGATCGATTCGCTTTCATTAAACACGCACAGTGTTATCGCACAGTGTTATCTAAAATTTATTGCGTTTAAAGGTATATGCGAAGTATTTTCCTTAATTGTCTTAGAGGCCCGCGTGATCAGTTCCTTGTGGATGGAGTTGGAGTCTGAAGCACCGCAGCCGGAGCGCTGACGGCGGCGCAGCGAGCAGTACTACAGGCCGGTGTCGCGCGCTCGCCTCGAGCGCCGGAAGATGTCCGCCGCTGGAGTACCGCCCGCAGACGCTAATATCAAGGACTCCTACCTGTAATTCCAATATGATATTGGTTAATCGCCTAAAAGAATACAATAAAACGATCATAATTTTACCAATGCAATTGAAAATCTTTTCACATCCGTTGAGGCAATAGGACTATATTATAATATTCCTTAAATTATATATTAACAAACATACCTTTATTTTATATATATATATATATATATATATATATATATATATATATATATATATATATATATTTTACGTGGTAGACCCACGCAGCAACTATATAATGGTTGTAGTACGGATGAGTCTGCCCGACCGGGGAAGGATCACGATCACGCTTAAGGTTGCTGTGTATATAAGTATAGAGAACCGGAGATCTTTTTTGATGGAAACAAGGCATTCCATCTCAGTCTTCAGGGGTAACAACGCATCTGCATTTTGATTCTTATTTGAGGATAAATGTTTATGGGCTACAGCATCCACTTACCATCAAGTAGACTGTGTGATCGTTTGTGACCCTTATTATATATATATATATATATATATATATATATATTGTAATGTACAAACAATGGATTCTGGAAAACTGACTAATTGTTTTATTGCTGCTATACACATTACAAAAAAAGGAAAGGTGGTTTCTACGTGTATAAGGGAGAGGCATTAATAAGATCATGTCATTCCTGCCAACGCTCACTAAAATATATTTTGTAGAATACTTTTGTAGAATAATAAGCTGACTAAGTAACTACTTTGTGCCTGATATTTAACTGACAAGATTGGCTTGAACCAAATCGAGGCCGCGTTTCCAATGTCTAAAGCTGTAGATGGTATAATTCGTACAGCAAACCATAATAATATCATGTGACAGCGGTACGCCACGCACGACACCGCTGCAACAACACCCTACTTTCTTTGACTTTGAACTAAGTGAATATCATAAAATACATTTAATTTCTACTGGTTCGCCCACTAATTTATTATCTAAATATATAAAGATTAATTTAATTCGTTCGTATTTTATGCGCTGCCATAGCCGTTCATCAGATTACGGTTAAACTTTGTCAACTTATTGCTTGTACTTACGCGAAGATTATAGGCATAGTACAATTAACTTACAGTTTGTGGCGCGCGTATCGCTACAACTATTTTTTTTTTAAATATCTTTCAACTTCAACGAATGTATTAACAATCCTAATTAAACAATGCAACTCTTCCAAATTGAAAACGATATTTCCACAATTATTTCTTCTGCGGTAGTAACACGCCGGGTACTGTTACCAGTATAGTGTTGAATAAATATTAGGCCGGGGAAAATGTTTCTTCGTATTTTATATACCAATTTAAGAATTTTTTTCAAAGTTTAATTACATGTAATTATAACATATATGTGCTATTTTATTCGATTGTTACTTGTTGCCATCTCTAGGTAGTGATCCAATTGCTGTAGAAATCTTGAGATTTTTGATCAAAAAATGCGACAAGTAATTTTGACAGTCCTCCATTGATGTTAACCTAACACTATCCAAATAATTCTGAAGAGACTAAAACAGGTAAAAATCTCAGGGTGCAAGGTCAGGTCTATATGGTGGACACATTAACACTTCCCAAACAAGCTCTCTCAATTTTTGCCGAGTGGCCAAAGATGTGTGTGATCTAGCGTTATCATGATGAAAGACCACTGCTTTTCTGTTAATCAATTCCGGCCGTTTTTCTCAATTTCTTGCTTGATTCTCATTAGTTGTTTGCAGTAGAGATCCGATCGATGATTTTGCCCGGCGGTAAAAGCTCATAGTAAACGACGCCCTTCCACCTACACGCTGTGTGTAACACAGCATCACCTTATTGCGTATTAATCCGGGTTACGCTACAGTCTGTGGAGCTTGACTACCCTTTCACCATGATCTCTTTTGCTCGTTCTTGACGTAGGTGATCCACTTTTCATCACGTGATTAATCTTTTCAAAAATGGGTCGGTTTCATTACATTTCCATAGAAATTCCCAAATGAGTACATGTTTCATTAGATTTCTTTCAGTGAGCTCGCGTGGTACCCAAATATCGAGCTTCTTTGTATAGCTAGACTGTTTCAAATAGGTCAGAACTATTTTGTGGTCAATGCTCAATTCCTCGTCTATGTAGTAACTACTAATATGACCCCTGATACCCATGAAACAAAAGTAGGTTGTTTCGTTAAAGTCCTCTGCTAAACATAGGCCTCCCTCATAGATTGCCTCATAGGGGTGACAATTGCCATAGTTTCTACAATTGGCAAGCGGATTGGCAACCGAAGTTATCTTTTATTTTTTGGTCGTTATTAGGAAGACGCTGCTGCCCATCTCCTGACGTTTTTCCTTCTGTCGCCTCTTACGACACCCACGGGGTGTTACAGTTTAACGGTTATACCATCGATTCGGATCTCTACTGCCAACAACTAATGAGACTCAAGCAAGAAATTGAGGAAAAAACGGCTGGAATTGATCAACATAAAAGGAGTGGTCTTTCGTAATGACAACGCCAAACCACACATATCTTTGGTGACTCAGCAGAAATTGAGAGAGCTTGGTTGGGAAGTATTAATGTATCCATCATATATTTCTGACCTTGCACCCTCAGATTTTTACCTGTTACGGTCTCTTCAGAATTCTTTGGGTAGTGTTACGTTAACATCAAGAGCTACAGCAATGGTATTATGTCACTATGATGGCAACAATTTATCGAACAAAATGGCACACATATATATATATATATATATATATATATATATATTAATATATATATATAATAAAATGTAATTAAAATTTTAAAAAAATGCATCAACTATCAATCTTAAAATAATTTTGGTAGTTTTGTTTTCTTGGCAAAGCCAATTTAAACATCTATTTCTTTCATAAGTATATGTATGTATGCATATATATTTTATGTATATATATATATATATATATATATATATATATATATATATATTATTTTCTTTGTATTTATAACTTTGTTTTTGATAATAATATATTTATTGAATGAAAATATAGTAATTTTTCTAGCGATTAAAAGCAAAAAAATTATTTTCGTAGTTTAAAATAATTAATAGTGTTAGTTTATAAATGTTAATGTAGATATAAATATTTACATACATAATATAGTATGGACAAGAGAGGATATAGACATTATATGATTGCAATTATAATATTACAAAAAGTTATAATTGAATACCTGAATTTATATTAAAAATGAAACATTATCAATAATGTCATATAAAAATTTCGGCGTACCTTCTTAAATAATACGAGTATATAGTTTCCTAAATTAAACATTTTTTATTCTTTAAAAAGTTTTCAATTTTATTTTTTAATTAATTTAGCTTCCACCTTAAAGCAAGGGTACGAAGGTGTAAAACTTGACGTTCAGTATTAAGTGCGGTGTCTTACAAACCTTAAATTATATTTAATTTTCACTTTAATTACTTACACATTTCAAGTCAGTCAGTTTATATACCTTCTTTAACTAAATGCTCAAAATTCTTCATTAATTTAATTTTATGTTCAGAATACCGTATTTGTATACAATTTTCATTTATTTTCTTTATGGCGATTAATCTCTTGCCTGTTCCAGGCTGCATTATACATTGCTACTTTTAAAATCCGCATCTATTGTTTTTGATTTCCGCTATAGGCGACATAAAATGGCGCTGAAAAATTTCCGTTGACCATTGTTGAGTATCAACAAGGACATACAAAGAGAATTCGAGTGGGGAAAAGTGTAGGATCTTCCTAGAACAGGGTAAAGTAAAAGCTAATCTAGTCGTTTGTATTGTAAGAATAGACGTATTGAAAATGGATATTTTATCGGTAAAAACGAATTGGGGCCACCAAATAATTTTTAATTAAATGAACCCTGAAGCTGAAGGTTAAGGCTGTCGATGAAGTTGTCGAAAGTCTTGTCGTAAAAGGCTTTTAATTTAGATTCAATGGAGGGGATGCAACTTTCTAGGGTAATTTTATCATAATTATTTAACATGAGGCATGTCTAGGCTTTGAGATTATTCAATTATATACAAAATATTAATTCAGTGTGACATAGTTTATATGACATGGTTTAATTAAGGTAATATAATCCTAAGAGTACCTTTACATATAAGGTCTAGCTTACTTATGTATACTCTAAGATATAAACTATATGTTTAGAAAAATAAAATCTAATGCTATGTGTCCTTTTGCTTCCTTTCCATAGATGTTGTTAAATGATTAAAATTTTATCAAAAGTATTATTTAATTGTATATTAAGATTTAAGATTATCTAAATCATTATAATTGAACCTGTAATATGCAGATATTAGAGTGTAAGCAAAGATTCAAGTTAAAGATGATAAATTATAAATTCCATTATGTTTAATCGGGAGAAGCTGATAAAATTAAGTATCTAATGCAAATATATCAATGTATTATTACTACATATTTTCTGAATTAATGTAATATCACTTAACAAATGATAATAAAAAAGCCAAATGTACGTGTTAATAAATTTCTTTCAATGTAGAAATCACTAGTTTCCTTTCATGAAACTCCTAAAACTTGGTTAAATAGCAAAAAAATATATTGAAACAGTTTTTACACCAAATATATGACTTTTGAACGCCTTAACTTGGTAGGATCCATCATTTTAATCATTTGTCGTGTAAACCTTGCCTTTCATACAATTTACAACAAAACTTATAGTCGTCTTACACAAGCAATATTTATTCCTAATCAGCCCGTAAATGACCAATGCTGGATGTTGACATCTCACGTTGATGGTAGAATTTGCCTTACCCATGTTCTTATCAGGCTGATTGTCGGTCACTGTTCCACGCCGTCTCATGCCGTTGAGCAGTTGACCGTAACTAGGCAGGTCTAGCGTAAGTTAAGATGATTATACTGCTATATATCAGATGTCA